GATGACATAACAACGACTTTGTTGGCGGTGGGCGGTAGGCGGAGGGGGGCGTGGTTTGCTGATTCTAAGGGCAAAATTTATTACTAGGCAAATCAAGTAAACTTAACGAACTGTTTCTGACGCACAGCCGAGCCACAGAAAGACAGACGTCATCTGGTTGCAAAATTTCTAAGGAATTTTCCAACATACTTGAGAAGGTTTCTTAAAAAAAATAAAGAAAACTTTAAGCTTTCTTAATTAATTCATTTTAATTATTTAAATTTATTAAAAAATAAAGAAAAAACTAACCGGAAACTATACAAAATATATATAAATACTATTATAATTCCCTTCAAGACCAAACCTTAGCTTACCATTTGGGGAAAAATGCTTGGTGTTTTCTCTCCATTTCCCAAATTGAATTTTCCCACGTTTGAGGCCATCGGCCAAGGGTGTAAAAATCAATCAAACAAAACGGACTGACACTTGGACAGACGATTAAAGGAAATGGGAGCTGGGAAAAGCAGCAGCAGCAGCAACTCGATATGCAAGTGAACGGGGAAAAGGGAAGAGGGAAAACTTCTGGAGGAGGGCCAAGACAGATGGAAAACTTTGGGAGGAGTGGAGTGGGGGCGAGGCAAAAATGGCAGGAAAAATGGCAGGGACTCTCCGTTTCATTGTTTCGGTCAAACGCACAACAACAGAGCGTTAAATTCACACACACACAAATCGAGACAAATGAAACGAGCGGAGATGAGTCCGATTTGGATAAGGAATCTCTAAGACTATGGGAAGTCACTTGAGCAGATCCAAAATGGAATCAAGGTTATGTTAATATTAAGTTTGTATTATTTTTTAACAATATTATTTAATAAGGGGTCAGACTGGTAAAGAGCAAGGTGTAACTCTGGCGAAAAGGTAAGTAATCAAGATTTTCATTAGGTAAACTTAGAATATATTTTATAAAATGATAAAATAATATTAAAGGGATAAATATTTACCAGTCCAGGTTAATTAAGCAATACAATTTAACTAAAAAATGTTAGAACCAAGTCCTTTATGAATTCTAGAATTTTAAGACGTTCCAATGAGAGTTTTCTTAATTTAAAAGATAAATCTAATATTTATAAATCCTAGAAAGGGCCCTAAAGCTTCATAATATCCTTAATTAAGGACTTTAAAACTACATTTTCTATGGATTTAAAATTAATTTCTATATATTTGTATATATTTTTTAACCATTTATATTTTATATTTATTTTACTATAATTTTAAATATATTATTTTCTAATTGAATATTTTAAATATTTTTTTAAAATGTTTGTATATGTTTTTTTTTTACCATTTATATTTTATATTATTTTCTATATATATTTTTTTACCATTTATATGTTATATTTATTTTTTATAATTTTAAATATATTATTTTCAAATTAAATCTTTTTTCTAATTTTTTCAACTCCAAAAAGTTTATACTTAATTCCTGAATTTCCCTATTTCGATATTTAATATATACTTTTAAATTTTGTAATTTTTTTTTAATTTGTTAAAAAACAAATAACTAAAAAACCAACTGCAGCTTGTTAACCAGTTTCTTCGTTTCTCCAAAGAGAATGACAAATGCATGTGTGTGTTTCTATTTTTTTTAGTTCGGCCATTAGCTGGCGGGATTATTTTTGCATATCAAATGGCCAAGAGGAGTTCCAAGTCCTCGTCCTGCCGAAGTGAGTGAGCGAACGAGCGAGAGTCCTTCAGCGGCGAGGGGGGGGAGAGCACACGCACAAAAGCGCAAGCAGGGCAAACAGGTCAAGGATATTATGCATATGTGAGTAGGCAAAACGAAACAAAGGTGGAGGTGACAAAGGGGTGAATAAGCCAGAAGGAGGTAGAACCATCCGAAAAGGACTCTCATTTCGGCAGCCATTGTCACACGCCGAGTCATCTTCATCTACAACGTCATTGTTGTTCGCCACTCGAAAGTCGCACAAATGAACGCGTAATTGTTTGCACATGAATACATTGAGTAAATATTTGCAAACACATTCAGCATTCAGCATTCCACCGCCACCACCGTAGTTGTCGTTGCTTTTCCTCGATTTTCCACCGCTTTGCCTCCACCGACGCGTCATCGCTCGACTGCATCCTGAGCTCTCGGGGCTGAGCCATCATCATTTGCATGCCGAAAGGAGGCGAAAAGGAGACTTGAATTGCATTGGCAAGTCAAAGAAGGCCTTAATCTGCTTACCTTGCCTTGGTGACATTTCTTTTCACATTCAGAGGATGCCTGCCGCCGCCTTGGAAAATGGAAAATCCTAGCTGATGCTGCTGCTGTTGGAAAAAGTTGCTTAGCTTGGCAGAGGCTTTGCTTTAATTGCGATGCCACCGCCCCCGCTCGCTGCCTCTTGTGCACTTTGAGAGCATAAACAAATTGCAAATTGTTTATGGCATGCAAATTAATCAAATCTCCTTTCTCAATTAAGCCTGCCAGCCAGGATGATGATGATGATGATGCCCAGGGAAAATGGAGAGAAAAATAGGGGGGGAAAAACCCCATGTATATGGCGATGGCAAAGGAAAACCAAAGAAAAACATTGGAAAAATAGAAAATAAATAGGGGAAAAAATAGAAAATAAATAGAGAAAAAAATAGAGTCAAAAAAAATAGAGGAAACATTCAATTGCTAGGCAACCCCTTTAAAAAATAATAAAAGCCTTCAAGGCAAAGGCCAGGAAAACATTTAATTGATTTTCCAGGGGAATATATATTATTACTAGCTTGCTTTAAATATTTTATCATTTAAAAACCATTTTAATATTTATTTACATATTTGTAAGCATTTTAGAAACATTTAAGTCCCTGAAAAACAGACTTTCAGTTGAATTATCTTCAAGTTTATTTAATTATATTATTATTTATTATTAAATTTATTTATTTTTTAATATTTTTAATAGCCAAAATAAACACCTGCCTTCCTCTAAATTTTTTATCACTTAAAATCCATTTTAAATATATTAAAAATATTTTTTAACAATTGGAGAATACTTTTATCTCTAAAAAACCAACTTAAAATTGAATTAACTTCAAGTTAATCTGTTTATATTATTATTTATTACGTATTTTATTTATATATTAATATTTTTTTTAATACCCAAAATAAAGAACTGCCTTTCTCTTAATATTTTATACCTTAAAAACCATTTCAATATATTTTTTTAATATTTTTTAAGCATTTCAAGAACTTTTCAGTCTCTGAAAAAACCGACTTTTAATGGAATTATCTTCAAGTTGATCTAATATTAATATTTATAATTTATTTTATTTATATTTTAATATTTTTAAATACCTAAAATTAGCAACTGCCTTTCTCTAAATATTTTATCACTTAAAATCCATTTTAATATTTAAAAAATATTTTTAAACAATTTGAGAACACTTAACCAACTTCCCATTGAATTATCTTCAAGTTAATCTTATTTTTATATGGATACTACTGACATTTACTCGCTGGCAATTAAATTCTCACAGTTCAGTAATTGGGAGCCAACAGCCAACAGCCAACAGCTACCCCAAAGTTCACAGTTGGCATTTTCCATTTTCCATTTGCCATTTGCCATTTTCCCCGCCCCCCTCTCAACTTCATGTAATTGAGTGTAAACTTGTCAGAGCATTTATTTAATGCCTAATCAAGTGATGTATTACACATGACTTGCCCACTTTGCCACCTTCCAAGGATTCCTCCAAGGCTTCGGGCTGAAGGATTCAAGATTGAAGACCAAGGATCCAAGGATCCAAGGCTGGACCGGATGGCAACGGGGTTTCAGGCTCTAAAGTGTCGTGTCAGTAGTAGTTGTTGGCTGTCAAAAGTTGTGTATGCGTGTGTTTCGGCCAATTAGCATAATTTCTTGTCTCAACTTTTGGACCCAGATGCAACAGATACAAAAGTATCTGTATCTGCGACACATCTAAATTGCCGGATGCCCCGGTATATATTCCGCTTTAAGTTTTGCCAATTAAATTAGGAAAACTTGTATCTAAGTGGAATGGCAATTTTCGCTTCGATGGATTCGCTCATTAAAGAATAAATTGTAATTATTTTAGATGTTCAGAGACGCAACAACAATTAATCATTGGGATCTACAAGGGATTAGGTGTGTGCGTGTGTGTGCTGGTTTTTGGGAAAGAAATACAAGAAAAAGTGGAATGACAATGGTTTTTCCATAGCCTAGTTTTCTTAATTTCCATTTAAATGTAAGAATTTATGGGGTTTTTAGGGAGAATTTGGTTTTAATTTTAATTTAAAAAATATTTATAACAATAAAAAAATGTTTAAAAATAATATATATATATATATAAAGATTATTTCTAAACATTTTGGAAAATACCACACTTCAAGAAACTAAATTTATTAATAAATTCATCAAGTTTTCTTTTTTCAGAATTAACAAAAATTAATACCAAGCCCCTAAAAAGCCTCTCCTATTCAAAATATAATTATTATAAAAGAAAACTTTGCTCTCTCAATATTTTCCAAATATTTTCCAAATATTTTCTCATCAAAAACAACTCTGAGAATGACCATTCTTTAGGGGGAAAACTGCATTTTCCGCTTAACGGCGCCGACGTTTCAAAGCCTTTGGCTAATCCACGTCAACGGTAGTCTCATTTCCGCTGCTGCAATGGAGTCCTTGTCTGGTTTCGAGCCTGAAAATGCCAGCCAGGTTATAGACTCCCCTCTCCCTTAAACTTCAACCCCTCCCCCACCCTTACCCCTTGGCAATTATGGCCGCTTCGATGGCCATAAGCGATTAGAGGCTGAAGCGAAAGAGAAAAATCAACAGCTGGCAAAGAGCGAGCCAAGGTCGTTGGCTCTCTCTCTCTCTGTTCACCACAGTGGGTGTTGTTGGGTGGGGAAAATTCTTGAGTGAAAACCCACCACTTGCCGACAACGACGACGACTGACGAACATCGGTGGTTCGTTCCCCGTGCGGCATTTCAGTCTCACGTTGAACTCTGCCGCCGTTTGTTGTCAGCCGGCTCGTGGTGGACAAACTGAGAGCTACGATTTTGGCCTAAGTCAACTCACACACAGTGTGTGTGTGTGTGTGTGTGTGTGCCGAGACCAAGGACGAAGGACGAGAGACCACGACCATTCGCGACGACGTGTGTTGTGACCCCAGAGAGGTCCTGCCAGTGATCGCGTGCCCATAATTACAGTCATTTAACGGAAAAGTGCAAAGTTAAACCAAAAGTTTTTACTTCAAAGTTCGCTGATCGCGATTTTCCTTTTACCAACGTTTTCCTTTTACCGTTTTCCCATTTTCCCGTATTTGTTGTTCTCTGTTTTTTTTTTTGTTTGTTTTTGTTAAACCGGCACAACACTCTTAAGTGAAAGTTGGTGTTTAAGAAAAATTCAAATAACAAGTGAATGCAACAAATGAGCAACAAATGAAAATAAAGTGTGTAAAAAAAAAACAAAATAAAATAAAATAAGAAATAAATAAAGAGCTGAAAGTATAAGAAATCTGAAAAGCAGAGAGATAATCACCAGAAGCGAACAGGAAACCAATCAAGGCCAAAAAACGGTTAGTAAACAAGGAAATTGTTTGTTTTTGTGGCTGCTTTATTGTTCTGTGTGTGTGTGTGTGTGCTTATGAGTGTGTGTAAGTGTGTATATATGAAGGTGTGAATGTGTAAAGGTATGTGCTTGTATTTGTAATTGTTTATGGTCAAGGGGAATATTTTTTTAAAAATTATTTCCGGTGCTAATCAACAAAATTTGAACATATACACTTGGCTTAACGATTATTATATGTGGGTATGGGTGCTTAAGGTGTGTGTAGGTTGGTGAAGGTGTAGCTTTATATATAATTATAATTTCTAAATATTTTTAAAGATTTAAACAAATTTTTTAAGATTTTTAAATATTTTTTAAATTTATTTAAAGGCTTTTTGAAAGGCAATTGAATAACAACAAAGAGATGACAATTTTTAAAGTGTGTGTAGGTTAGTGTAGGTGCAGCTATATGTATAATTGTATTTTCTAAATGTTTTCTAATATTTTTAAAAATATTTTAATATTTTTAATATTTTTTTAAATATTTTAAAGTATTTTCTAAATGTATTTAAAGGCATCTAAAGGCAGACAACATGGCAAAGAGCTGAAAATTCTTTGTAATTTGTCTTGTATATTTTTTAATTCAATAATTTAAAAAACAAATATATTTCTACAATTTAATAATCCCTTAATTACCCCAATCAAGTAGATGTAAATCAGGACTTAAATGGGGTAAACTTATAGAAAGGATCGTGGGAAATTTAAATAACTTCAGTTAGGAGTTGGCAACATTCCGGAAAGTGTGACAAAACAGAGTCAAATCTCAACCCCCCCTCTCCACACCCTCCACTCACACACACACACACACACACAGCGAAAGGACTCGAGGACCTCAAGGACCTACATGATTTATAAGACACATTAAATTGAATATTCAACATAATGTAGCATTTAAATGACCCACGAACAGCGGGCTGGCATAAAACAGAAAAGGGAACATATAAAAATATATATAGAGATTATATATATACAGTATATATAAATATATATATTCTTTATAAATTATATGACAGGCTTCCCCTTGAAGGTCAAAACCGTTGAAAGTGGCTGGAAAGAGCAACAAGGCTCCTTTTTCCAGCCTGAATTTGAGTTCAAAGATTAAGCCTCTCTATTTTCCGCACATATTGTTTAAATGCGAAAATCGCTTAAAGTTTTTCCACCGATTGAATTCTTAACAAAAAAACAAAAAAAAAGACCCCTGCTTGCGTGTGTGTGTGTGTGCGAAAGTAATTTACCAACACAGACACTAAGAGCAGGAGCCCAAGAATCATAAATCACACGCTCTCTGCCCGAAACTACAGAAAGTGACACACACTCACTCCCATTTGCCGAAGGGGGGAGGAAAAAGGTAAGGGGAAAAGCTGGGAAAGCCGGGAAAAGCGGCAGGGAGGCGACACGCGTTACGTGTCCAGGTCAGAATGTCAAAAGTCAGCCAATTTGGGCAACATTTTGACAGACACTGCGTTTAGCTGGCGTTGTGCAACACTGTCGCCGGCGGCAATATCGAAATTAATATTTACTACAAATATGTGTATACAATCGTGGACATAAGTATTTTGACACAGATTATGGCTATATTCCAGCGCGTGTCTCTTTGTACTCGTAAAAGTTACTGGATCCACTTCACTTTCCAGTAAGAGATTATATTTACATCTTTAAAAGAGCAAAAGATGACACTGATAAGTAAATTAACTTCTTTGCTATGTCCCGTGATGTGAGAGATCATGCATTTTTGGGTGGACAAAAATATTTTGACATTGCATTCAATTAGCTCTCATTTGTTTCGTGCGCATAAAATACAGCTTATTATTATTTATAACTCCAGCTCATACATTTTTTAGCAGCTTTAATATATTTTTTGTAAATTTTCCTAATTTCTGTACCGTTATTTAATGAAAATATGGGTAAACCACGGCAGCTAAGCCAAATCCAGCGAAACGAAATAGTAATTAAGTACCAAGCAGGTATTTCGGTCCAGAACCTCAGCATATTTTATAAAGTACCCCGACAAACCATTGACTACCAAATTAACAAACATAAACTGACAAATTCGACGAATAATTTAGTCAGAAAAGGACGACCATGCAAAACTACGCCTAGACAAGAACGTCTAATCTTTGCAACATTTAAAGAACATGTCCTTATTAAACCAAACGAAGTTTCAATGGAAGTTAAAAACGATTATGATATTTTAATTAGTAAAAAAACGGTTGAAATATTATTTAAAGAGGCTAACTTTGCTACTTTGTGGCCCGTCAGATACCTTTCATTTCACCTAAAAATGAGTTAAAACGATTAGCCGATTAGGCCGCACTTTCTTGCGAATATTTTTTGGTAATCTGCAGTAAATTTCTTTTTTTAACCATGGTACTCAAAAGGACTCTCATCGGTCCACAAAATTTGTTCCCAAAACGATTGAGGCTGTTAACAAATGATTTGGCAAAGGCAAATCGTTTCAACTCTTTTGTATGTGAAATGAAAGGTATCTGACGGGCCACAAAGTAGCAAAGTTAGCCTTTTAAAGTCTTCTTTCAACTGTTTTTCTACTAATTTAAAAATCATAATCATTTTGAACTTCCATTGAAGCGGCTTTTGGTATAATAAGGACATTATCTTTAAATTTTGAAAGGATTAGACGATCTTGTCTAGGCGTAGTCTTGCGTGGTCGCCCATTTCTGACTAAATTATCCGTCGAAATTGTCAGTTTATGTTTGTTAATTTGGTAGTCAATGGTTTGTCGGGGTACTTTATAAAATATGCTGAGGTTCTGGACCGAAATACCTGCTTGGTACTTAATTACTATTTCGTTTCGCTGGATTTGGCTTAGCTCCCGTGTTTTACCCATATTTTCATTAAATAACGGTACAGAAAATAGGATAATTGACAAAAAATGTATTAAAGCTGCTAAAAGATTTATAAGCTGGAGTTATAAATAACAATAAACTGCCTTTAATGTGCACGAAACAAATGAGAGCTAATTGAATGCAATGTCAAAATATTTTTGTCCACCCAAAAATGCATGATCTCTCAGATCACGTGACATAGCAAAGAAGTTAATTTACTTATCAATGTCATATTTTGCTCTCTTAAAGTTTTAAATAGAATCTCTTACTGGAAAGTTAAATGGATCCCGTACATTTTACGAGTACCAAGATACACGCGCTGGAATATAGCTATAAGCTGTGTCAAAATACTTATGTCCACGATTGTATATTCTAGGGGGTAGTTTTTTTAATAAGCAAGTAGAAGCAAGTATTTATGTTTTAATAACGTTTATATAGTCTTCGGAATTTGCTTTTGACATGAAATATATACTTGATTGAATGTTAATAGTTTTATTTTGAGTTTTTACCAAAGCGATAAATATATAAAAACATATTTATTTATCAGGCTAATAGTTAACAGTTTTATTAATATTTTAAAAATATATTTAGGTATTATTTATTTATTTTAAATATATTTTATTTCATATTTTCTTTTAATAAAAACAATAAAATGTTAATAGTTTTACTTTATTTTTGTATCAATATATATATTTATATATAAAATTTGGTTTTTAGCAACTACCTATATTTATATATTATTTAGTGATATATTACTTATTTTTTTTTTTAAATATATATTTTCAAAATATTATTTTAATAAGAATTCTCTGATATTTTCTTAAGAAAACCAACAAGAAAATTCGTTTCTATATTAAAAATAAGTCAATTTTAATATAAAAAGAATAATAATTTACTTAATTTAATAACAAGTTTTAATTATAGTAATTAAAATTCAATAGCAACAAAAATTCAGTTAAATAAAATATTTCAATTAATTTGATATTTTTTGCAGCATTCTCTTATGTTTTGCTTTCACTTGCAATAATAAAAACAAAACATGGCATAGTTTGTCAAACAACAAAAACAATTTGTTGATTAGTTTGTTCATTTTGTTTTAATTACATTTTGTATTTATATATTTTTAAACACAAAATTGTTTCGTGGCTTCAAAGTTTAAAGGGCCAATCTTTTTGCAACAAAATAAAATTGAATAAACATATACATAGCCAAAATATAAAGTTGTAAACATAAATGCTGGAATATAAATTTCAAAAAATTAATTAAAAACTTAAAACAGATTTTAATTGACTGCCAAATTTTGTTATTAAAAATTTATTCAATATTTTTGGTTAATAAAATATATTTCCAAGGACTTAATATTATCATAAACCCTGAATTTTACCCTTAGACCTCCCTTTTTTGCCCAACTTAACCCCTCAATTTTCGCCTGACCCAAGCGATTACCACGAAAAGGCAACCCCAAACTCCGGTTTTCTCGGCTTCTGACTTTTCCAGAGTGACTCCGAAATTGCCCATAATCCATTCTCCAAAAACCCGGATAATCACTCATGGCATACCCTCTTGACCCGCAAATCATATTTCCAGCCCTGAGTTATGGCCTGCGACTTCCCTTTTTTTGCCTCAACAAAAAAATATATAAATACAACATAAATATACAACAAAAAAGTGTACAAAAAAATGTAAAAAAAAGAAATGTTGTTGGAACCCTGCGGGTTAACAAGATGTTTATAAAAATGATATTACGACGACACGCACAATGTGTGAAATGAATGTCGAGTGAGGAGGCCCAAGATGAGGCCCAGGCTGAGGCCATTAGACAACGCATTAATCTAATCATATGAGTTCGTCTGACTGCTCTCCTCATCTTCCCGATTCCCGATTCCCTTTCCCTCTGAGAGTAACCAAAATCATGAACTCCAAAATGCTAACTGGGATTTGGCCTTTAAAAAATACAACAAGAGGGGAACAAGGAAGGTTTTTTGGGGTAAAACGACTAAGAAATACCTAGGAAAATTAAGGGAAATATTAAAAATAAAAGTAAATAGACTTTGTAGATATATAAGATATAAAACTATAGAGATAATTTTATAAGAAATAAAATCTAGAGAAATATTTTAAGGCA